AAAAAAAAAAAAAAAAACTATAATACCTCAGCATTCAACGTGTCCATTTCCTTTTTGTTTTGAAAATACAACACCCAGCTATTTTTTGGTTGCAGCCATGATTATTGTTTGGTGGGCCCAGGCTGGATTCAAACCTGCCAGCTCAAATGTATGTGGTTGGTGCCTTAGCCACTTGAGCCATAGGCATCAAGCCCATGTGTCTATTTCTTAATCTCTCTACCCATTAAGAGAGCTTCCTTTACCTGGCATGAATAAGGAAAACACTAACAGTTTTTGTCACTTCTCTTTTTCAGAGACAAGGTCTTGCCTTGTCGCCCAGGCTCGTCTCAAACTCCTAGGTCTAAGCAATCCTCCTTCCTCAGTTTCCAGAGTAGCTGAGACTACAGATGTCTGCCACCACACCCAGCTAACATTTTGAATCAAGTTTTACAAAACAGGAAGAATAATTTCTAAAAAATAGGAATTGCACTGTTGACAGAACACTAGACTTGGTGGATTAATCTGATATGGCAATCCATATTCCTAATTTAGTGAGGAAGTACATAATGCTAACAGGAAGTGCATTCATAAAGAGAACCCATAGTTCTTTCAATAACCACATAGTTATATAACTAGTATTAAGGACAGTTCATCTGTCTCTATGATTGATCAAAATTCCAAAACCATCTTAGGAGAAATAATGTCACTTACAAAAGTTGGCTTGATAAGAGACTTCATATACCTATTGACTTAATTGGACAGTTTCAATCTAATTTCATTCAGAAGTCAACCTAGCTATGTGGTTGTGTGGCTGCCAGCCAAAATACATAACCTTTGTCCACTGTACATCTCTCTGCAATAAAATAAACTGAGAGAAATTTCCACTTGTAAAGCAAATATAACCCAAATAAAATGTAGACTTACCTTTCAAAAAGAAAAAAAGCCTTCCTTCACTCAGCTTTTCCGAAAAATCTTGATCTTGTGAATCTTTATTTCTTCATCACTGAAAATAAGTACAATTAAAAGATGTGTACACCTCTAAGACTGAATACTAAAATGAAACTGAAATCACCTGTTAGTCACATATGGTATTTTCTAATCTACTGATAAGAGTCTCTATCATTGTGAATACAGTACACCCTTTATGAAGAGAACAAATGACGTGGTTCCTCATACAGGATGACTAGACTCCATGTTTTCACTGTATTTGTCAATTAAGCCTTAAGGAAAATTCAGTTTTCCTCACCACATATCCAAGTAGATAACAAGTCATGTTTGAAGACAAATTTTGAATTTATAATACCCTGAGAAGTGTCATTAACGTAATCCTACCTACTTTTCAACTTGTATACCCTCTCAAACCCTATGCCCCAATAATGTGATTACTGGTCTCTATTTTTAAAATAAACACTACTTTTCTTGTATTTTAAAGACTTTTCTCAAGGTTATTTACTG